TGACTAGATTTGAGTCAGAGTTTGGTTTGGGATATCTGATAGTCATAGTTTGGTTAAGTTGGAGAATGTCAGAGATTAAACTATGAGGATTATTTTCACGAAAGACCACCTTGAACTGATAGTTTTTGAAGACTTTGTAGCAACCGTGAAATAATATTCTTGTGCTTGTGAAAACCTACCCCCTCAGTCTTCCAGAATAACTGGAACACCTACTAGAGATTCAAGAAGAGTCCCAGAATTATACCACTCAGTATCTTTTTACCAAACTCTGAAATATAAAATGGTACCCAAATTCTTCCTTATTTGTCCCAGAACTACTCAAATATTGGAGGGGACAAGTTTTGAGAACCCAAAGAAGAAATTGATGAACCCAGGAATGCAAGAATGCAGGAATGCAGGCAATACAATGAAAGTCTAAAATATCTCAATGCCATGAAATGACATTTTTGAAGATATATTTTAGATTCCATTAACCCAGTTCGTGAATTATATACACACAAAGTTAAGGTATATATATATCATGCTGTCAAATCTAAAACACACATGGTGATCACATTTAAGGGGTCCATTCTGTGCATTACTATTGGTTTAACAATATTACATAAGCCGAGGCTGAGGCTGATGACATCGGAAGTTGAGACTTGATGTCCCCTCAACTCAACCTGTCAACTGAATTCCAAAGAACATAACTCATAAGAAGAAAGCTGTATTACCAGCAGATACCATGAACCATGTTCAATTTCTCAAGCTTTGTGCAAAAGGCTCAATCATTCATTGACCCAACTCAATCTCTCAATATATCTGCTTCTGATCGCAACCCTGCCAAATCTACTCTCTTTCGCAATCAATTCCGATTACCAGATTCTCAAACCCCTCTACAAGAAATCACTGCCGAACTTACCATAGCTCCACCGAATCCATACTCACCGAATGCTACACAAGGAGAGAAGGATAAAGATAGGGATAGAGGGTTTCATTATGCGGGAAAGTTACATTTGAGTGAAGCATACCTGTGCTTCTCAACACAGCCTACAAGTTTCCTTCAAACTGCAAGTACAGGTATATCTTCTGGGTTCAATGGACAAACACATGGAGCCGGACCTGGAGGAAATGGCTTTACTTTACCTCTATGTGCCATAAGACGAGTAGAGCGACTTCATAGTCAATCCTACCAGGTATGCAACCCTCCTTTCCGCATCCTTTACCTGCTGACATCGACCGAAGTTTGCTTTAGCTATTACGACCTGGAATGGACTCACAAATGCACCTACAAAAGATGGCTCGAAACAACCTGTATATCAACAAAAAATTACAATCAATCTCGCCGGAACGCGCCAAGCTTGCGAAAGGTTTTGCGATGGTTTGAAGAAAGGGCTGAAATCTGGAGTCGGCGAGGTCGCGAAGATGAAACGTGTTGTGGCGGAGTGTTATTCAGAATATCTGTTACAAGGCGACGGCAAAATAGGAGAAATTCCAGATGCAGGGCTTGGCATGTTGTTTAGGTATCCTGGTGATCCTCGGAAACTACGAGACAAAAGCAAAATGAGACTTTGGGGGGAGTATCTTCGGGAGAATGGTCGGAATGTTACATTGATACGCCAGCCTACATTTCATAAACTCATTCGAGTTGGTTTGCCCAATCGACTGCGAGGGGAAATCTGGGAGCAAACATCCGGATCGTTGTTTTTACGCTTGGAAAATCCGACTCTATATGCAGATACCCTAGCGAAGTTTGAAGGACGAGATTCTCTTGCTATTGATGAAATTGAGAAGGATCTCAATCGAAGTTTACCGGAATACCCTGGATTTCAGAGTGTTGAAGGTATCGACCGGTTGAGGCGAGTTCTTACAGCATATAGTTGGACCAACGAAGAAGTTGGATATTGCCAGGCTATGAATATAGTTGTTGCGGCACTCCTGATCTATATGTCTGAAGCTCAAGCTTACTTCTTGTTATCTGCTCTTTGCGACAGGTTACTTCCCGGATATTACTCGCAAACCATGTACGGCACTCTACTAGACCAACGCGTATTTGAGTCTTTAGTAGAGAAGACTATGCCAATATTATGGGATCATTTGGTCAAATCGGATGTTCAACTTTCCGTCGTTTCTCTCCCATGGTTTTTGTCACTGTATATTAACTCCATGCCTCTCGTATTTGCATTTCGTGTTTTAGATGTTTTCTTTTTAGAAGGTCCAAAGGTCCTCTTTCAGGTTGGTCTCGCTATATTAAGAATAAACGGAGAAGAACTTTTAGACGCCGCTGATGATGGAGCCTTTATTTCTGTTTTAAAAGGATATTTCTCCAAACTCGATGAATCTGCACATCCAAAATCGGAGAACGCCAAATTACGAGCAGTCACACGATTCCAGGAGTTAATGGTTGTTGCTTTCAAGGAATTTTCGGGAATCACACAAAACACCATTTCAGAGCAACGCATGAATCACAAAGATGCTGTATTGAACAGCATTGAGAGTTTTGCAAAACGAACGTCGATACGAAACTTAGGCCCGGAAAGCAAGAAGTTGAGTGTTGACGAGTTGGGTGCTTTGTATGATAGGTTTTATGGTGTGTTGTACGAAAGGCAGCAAAGAAGTCAGATGATACAAGAAGAAAAAGAACGAAGAGCAAAAGCCAACAGAGCCAGTGTCATTGCTGGATTAGGAGAGAATCAAAATATCGAGAAAGGTAGGGTGGGACTTGGTCCAAGTCCTACTCTGATGGATTACGATTGTTTCCGAGAATTTCTTGCCGGAATGACTAGATGGGCTGTGTCAGATTCACCGTCACCACAAGAAAAAGAGCTCGAGAAGGAAAAGCATTCTTACTTTGGCAATTCTATGCGACGAAAAGATATTTCCATTTCTCCTTGGGGATTTGGTAACCCTGAACCGACCGACCACGAATTTATGCAACGGTTATTCCGGAGATGGGATGTGGATATGAATTCCGCCTTGACTCTACAAAACGTCGTAACGGGGTTGGCTCACATCAAGGGCAAGGGTGATATCATGGGAAGCATTACATACTTCTTTGAACTGTATGATGATGATGGAGATGGAAAGGTGGATAGGGAAGGTATTCTGCGGATATCAGAAGCTTTACTGTTTCTTTCTCGACGAGGTCTTGATGGGTCTTTATCACCTTCACCATCTATGGTTGGGCTGAGCGAATATGAAGCTAGTAATCCTGCACAATTTAGTAGTCTACATACAACTACACAAGAACGATTTTTGAGTAGCGTTAGCGCCTTCATCCGACGCTGCTTCGAGTATGCTGATCCAGATAATCCACAAAATGTCGAGGTCGAAGAGAAAGAAGATGATGAGAGTGTGGGAGAAAATGAGGAGAAATCATATGGTACAAATGGTCTTGTGGATCCCAACTCATTCGCTGTTGGTGATTCGGATGATTCGGATGAAGAAGAGGAAGAAGATCTCTTAGATCTTGGTATAGATTCCAAGAAAACTAAAAAGGAAATCAGTCTACCAATCATTCCTCCGCCATCGAATAAACCAAACAACCTCCCAACTCCCTCTCGCACCGTCTCCAAAGCACAATCAGAACGTGCCAACGCTGCCCTCGACCCCTCCAAGCCCCTCCACATAACCCTCCCCACTTTCCGCATGGTTGTCCTCGCCGATGAACTTCTAGAACAGTTCTTTGAATCTTCATTCCCAGCTTCTTTCCGCATCTCAGATAAAATGGTCTCAACTTCGAACGCGACAAATTCCTCCTCTCCCCTCACCACCTTTACCAGTATCGGCTTTGGTAAATCGGCAGCAGCTGCTGCGGCGAATGTTGTCAGCGGTCCTAGTTCTGCTGGTGTGGTACCACCTGGAAAGGGACTCAGGGGTGTATTGGATAATATTGTCACGGATGGAATGAGGGTAGCTGCAGAGGTTCGCAGGAGAATGGATGAAGCTCAGAAGGAAATGGAGAGGAATGCTATACATAGACCTGGTGTACAAGATGAGGATGAAGAGGAAGAAGATGATGGGTTGCGAGTTTCGGGTGGTTATGGAGGTGATGCGGAGAGAAGAAGTGTGAGGAGTTCAGATCGAGATTTATTGGAGGGAGCCGATGCGGAAGCGGGTAGTATTAGAAGTGGTATAGGTATTGAGAAAGTTGAAGGGACGGGAATTTCGGTCAAGAACGACAGTCTGATGCCAGGTATATCTGGAGATTCAAGGAGGGATAGAAGTTCTAGTTCTGCAACGCAGAAAATCGTGGAGTTTGAGAGGTAGAGGATGTAATGCACAAGGGGTGGGAGTGTTTGTTTCTTCGATGGTCATCAACATTTTCTTTTGTTTTTATTCTTCTTTCTTTCTTTGCATGGTCGGGGGACTTTTGGAATGATGGAAAGGGAAGGCATGATTGGGGTAGTAGACAAGAAGAGAAGAATAAGAGTGATATGCATTTTCCAGGCGAGCGAATGAGCGAGTGTTTTAATTAGGCTATGGCAATGCAATCAGCGGGTTGAGCGAATTGAATGGATCAAATGGTTGCCAGGTGTTTTGCGTCGTTTTTCTCTATACTTTTTGTTTGGGATTTCATGTTTTGTAGTTTATTATTGTTGGAGTGATTGGGTGATTAGGTGATTAGGTAGTGTCATGATTGAATTAAATCGGTTATCAATCCTGAAAAAACTTATATTAGGTAATAATTGGAGCGCTACCTTGGGAATAGGAAAGCCTCAAGCACTATCTTATCAATCAGCTCTTTTTACGATATCTTCTAGGTCAGGTCATTCACCATCTCCCACTCCCTCCCAAGTCCGGAGTAAGGAACTCCCACACATCCCACCCCAGTAACCCCACCCCACACCAACTCGTCGATCCGCCCATCCCATCCATTCCCACTTCTTCCCATTCCCGATCCTATTCGCTCGCTTAAATCACTGCCAAAAAAAATTCTCTAACTGTTACCCCACACATTATCCCATGTCTTTATAATCCAATACAGCAGAAGCAGAAATATAAATAAATACAACAAATAATCCGGCATGGTGTAGTGGCTAGCATTTCCGCCTCTCATTCGATGTTCGTTGGAATGTCAGAAAGGTCGCGGGAGACCGGGGTTCAATTCCCCGTACCGGAATTCTTTTTTTTTTGGAATTTTGTTTTTTTTTGTTTTTGGGGGATGGGGATGGGGAGGAGGAGAAGGAGAAGGAGCGGGAGGGGGTGATGATGAATGGGGTTGGATGATATGGATGAGGTGAGGACATGAATGTTTTTTTTTGCCGGGGGGCATGTGCATCGGTTTATTAATTGTATGTATATACTAGTAAATGGTTGGTTGATTGTACTGTATATAGAAGGTATACAATACGCCATAATCTTCAATTCCCACGCGAAACTCACTCAGATTATATAGGTATATATATACATCTAAATAAGTAACAGGGGTGGGTAGTTTTTATCAAGTTCCATAAACGTTAGACTAGGTAACATAATATTAGCTTAGAATCCGACTTATAAACAGCCACAATTTAGATCTCGGGCTTCAATCAACATCCCCTTATTGTAAAACACACATCTTTCGTAAAACATACAGCTTTTCTACATATCTACCTCCTCTACTAGGAGACCTTATACGAACATTATATCATAATGATCCGTCAACTTTTGCATAATTCCCACACATTAGTTTGAGATATAATCAAACGATCAAACGATCACCAACCCCTTGTTTTTTTCGCTATTGTGGGGCTAGGCTGTTGGAATAAATATCCAGGTACTTGTTATATGATATGTATTGTTGGGATTGGTTATATTCTAATTTAGTATCGGGTTGTGGATTTGAGGGTGGAATGGGTGGAATGGGTGTGGCTTATTTATTTGAGATGTGGATGTGTTGCAGGTTGGAGATTGTGTGTTAGAGTGTTAGAGTGTTTGGAGGGGAGAAAAGGGGTTGTTGAAATTGAGGTTGGTTATTGATGATGATGATGATGCTGTATTTATACCTATTTACATCTTGCCGGAAAGGGGGACCATGGGGTTGAGAGCGGGGCATGGAGAAACTGATGGGGAGTTGGGAGTTGGCCGAAGGAAGAGGTATAATAGAGAGGATGGGGAAGTTTCAGAGGATCAAAACAGAATGCCGAGACAACATGGACAATAATAGGCTGGCTGGCTGGCGGTAGTTTGGGTGGTTTCCTCTATACTGTACTGTACTGTCCTGTATATGGTAACTCATCTTCTTCCTTGGAAGGTGAAAGGAATATAAGGGTCAGCGGCAACCTCAACCTCAGCGTCTGAGTCTGGTCTGCTCTATATAGATATCATTTTCCAGGATATAATCAAATGATCACCGACACCAAACATTTAAATCGAGCGGCAACACCAAGATTTTGAGAGATAGAGTGGAGATGGGAAGATGAATTGCTCTTTCGGGTAAGGTCACCTGGACGAAGCCCGTTCATGCCGTAGGTATGCGGAATCATAAATGAGATTCTCGGCCGTGGGGGAAACGGGGACATGTGTATATACGTGGACTAGTATGATGGGGTTCGGTGTGCGCATTTATTGCCGCGGGGACTTTTATACGGTGGGGGTCTATATATAGCTATAGTGCTTAAGGGGGGCATCGAGGGCTTTAGGTTATATGGATGGAAATATGGAAATATAGAAAGATGGAAAGATGGAAAGATGGAAAGATGGAAAGATGGAAAGATGGAAAGATGGAAAGATGGAAAGATGGAAAGATGGAAAGATAGAAAGATGGAAAAATGAAAAGATGGAAAGATGGAAAAATGGAAAGATGAAAAAATGAAAAAATGAAAAGATGGAAAAATGAAAAGATGAAAAGATGGAAAGATGGAAAGGTTTGAGAGGTAGGGGTAGGGGTAGTAGGAAGATGTGAATCATTCATTTATCCATCTATTCACTCCTTATTGCAAGCGAGAAAATGAATCACTTTATCAACCGCATAATCTTCCTTGGCCGGCAAGTGGCCCGTCTAGGTAGATATTTATGGAAAATTCACCATCCAGACTTGGAGTACCGCGATGATACGAATCGAGTGCAGAGCTTAAAGTCTCGAGCATATGTAATCATTCTGATGCGAACCAGTCTAAGGGAGCCGCAAGGGGGGGGAGGGCGGGTTCTAATTTTGAACTTGAGGAGCTAGCTAGTAGGTAGCTATGGTTCAAGTAGAATAAGTGTACTTCTGTGCTTTGTTTGGGAATTGAAGAGTTTGTTATACTGAGGTATAAGGTAGATATGCTTGCTTTGTTTTCTCGTCTAATCAATATGGGTTACTTTAACTGCCTAATTTTTGATAAAAATACACGTAAGTTGGGTTTGATGAATGATGGCTGTCATGCCTAGGCCCCTGCCTAGTGAATACCATATATCTAGATACCTAGTCACATAATCACCCTCGATATTGAAATGATGATCTTCTAAAGAGGTTCCTTTCCTCTTCAGCATGGCTCTTTTGTCTGATTGCATATCTACGATTCGACCATATGATTCAAAGTGATCCGTGTGACAATGGCAATAGTTGGTAATGTTTATTATTGTATACATATTAACATCTTTCAATAATCAGATAACAGCCCAATCAATGTTTAGTAACATCCATATTCCTACCTACCTACCTACCCTACCTAATATAAGATGACCTCGTTATAGCAATTTGATAAAATGCAGGGAGGAGGAATATAAATTAGGACCGAAGGAGATATATACATGCGAGTCTAGATATAGATAGATCATTGTTGACTATTTCACTAGTGGTGCGTGTTTGAATGGATTGATCGGGATGGGATGCGGATAATTATGGTGTATAACTTTATATGTTAGAATAGAGATTGAGAGGGTGGAGGTCGAAGAGGGGGCTTGCGAGATGTGAATGTTATATATTTATATTTAGCTACCTACCTACTTAGCAAAAAAGAAAAAGGCGTGGGAGTTAATCCCCGTGAATTAGGGAAAAAGACTTGATAATACCTAATAAATCCAAGAGAGTTTCCATTATAAACACATGCGAATTCTCCGAGCAGAACAAGGAAAGCCTCAAATATCGATGTGTTTATGTAGTGGAGCATCCTGCTTCTTCTTTCTTGATATCCAGTTGATATTTACCTAGGTAGATATGTTTAGTTAGTTTGTTCATGGTAGATTGGTATAGATCTGTATAGATCTGTGTTGTAAGTTGAATGGATAAACGAAATATTATAGATTTCATTTTTCATTTTTTTATCTTCCAACTTCTTATCCCATTATTAATATAATCAGCAGACAAAAAAAAGCCAACAACAACAACAACAATAACATAAATGTTTCTCTCATCTTCCCCCTTCCCCTTCCTCCCCCTTCCTTCTCCCTTCCCCTTTCCTCCCTTATCTTCCCCATTTTCCTCCATTACCATCCAAACAACCTTTATCCTTTATCCATCTTTCCCCTTCCTCCCTATTACTATCCAAACAACAACCTATCCATCCTTTAATTCAACCTTCAATCCATCCATCTATTTATTCATTCATCTTCCCCCTTTCTCCCCATCTTCCTCCATCATCATTTATTCATCCATAACATACCCATTAGGTAACTCCAAATAATTATCAACAAAAACAACAACAAAAAACAAAAACAATTCTTTACTTCAACCTCCCTATCAACCTTTCTCCCCCTTCTCCCTTCTTTCTCCTTCTTCCTTCTCTATCCCCTCCATCCTCCCCATCCTTCCCATCCTCCCCATCCTCCCCATCCTCCCCATCCTTCCCATCCTCCCCATCCTCCCCATCCTCTCCATCCTAATAACATATTAAACCTACCTCCCTACCTCCCTACCTCCCTACCTCCCTACCTCCCTACCTCCCTACCTACCCTACCTACCCTACCTCCCTACCTCCCTACCTCCCTACCACCCTACCTCCCTACCTCCCTACCTCCCTACCTCCCTACCTCCCTACCTCCCTACCTCCCCACCTTACCTTACCTCCCTACCTTATTTACACAAATTTCAACATATCAGACACTCCATAAACGCCGAGACCAAAGTGCCTTTGATATTTTTACATCATCAAAATCATTTCAAACACATCGCCAAACACATCGCCAAACACATAACCCAGAACACCATTAAGAACATTTCAAATAAAATAAAAATCCAAAATCCTTTTCAAAAAATCCTTTCCCCATCTCCATCTCCATCTCCATTCCCATCTTCATTTCCTATCTCCCATCCTCCCCATCCTCCCCTTCCTCCCTTCCTCTCATTCTCCTCTCTTCCTTTCTTATTCACATACTCATATTCTCATATTCTTCTCAAAACATCACCATAAATAACCACCATCATTCCGCATCAATCACCCATCACAATCGCATATCACAGTATCATAGTATCACAATATCAAATAAAATAAAATAAATAAGCAGAGAGATTCATTTTATAAAATCGTTATTTTTATTCCCTAACAGATTATCCTTACCTAACAGCAAAGCACACCGCCGCAACCAGCTACCACAACCAATCCTTTGTGTGAAACCTCCCTTGCGAAAAATATCATCACATATGATTGAAAGTAGGTAGTGAATGAAAATAAAAGGAAACCCTAGAGGAAAAGACGCAAAAAAAAAAAAAACAAAAGGCAACGAGTGAGATAGGTTCCTTTCCCCTCCTGCAAAATAAGTCAAGTAGACCCCCCCCACCCCCAAAGCTCCATCCATTTCCCTTGATCCATCCGCTATCCAGAGCTTGTTTGTGTGTCAATCTTACGCCTGCCTTATTCGTGATAATCCATCCCCATCCCCATCGCCATATTCATCCACGTCCTTCCCATTTTTACCTGTGTCATCATTTTTGCCCCAATACAATTTTGGAGGTAATGCATTTACTTCTTGGATGCTGACTCTTGCTCGGCGAGGTATTCCTCATCACTAGCATCGAGAATATCATACTCCTCATCAGTCATAAATCCCTCATCAGCCTCCTCATCCTGAAGTTCGAGGTTTGGATTAAATTCTTCAAAGTCATCATTGAAGATTTCTTCAGCGGCTGGAACCTCTGCTGGTGCTTGTTGAGCTTCCTCGTGGACGCTTGAGACTGGAGATTCCTTGTCAAGCTTTGGGAAGATCATTTGACTACCCTCA